GATATTGGTGGAAAAATATCAACAGGATATTAAATATTTGGAAAACTCGTAGAAAACCATAAGAAAAAAATGTCATAATCAGAAATTAATTTAAAATAAGCAGTAAAACAGGTAGAAGAGCTTTAATCAAATTGATGAATATGCACTACTCTTCAAGATGGTTTAGATGAATGGGTGGGAACAATAGGAAAAGCGACCTGTCTCTCTGAGTATTTATAGATTTGTCACAAGCATTTGATTGACCGCTGAGAGAAACAGGATACTCCCATCAGTCTGCCATGCATGTTATTTTATATTGTATTCACATCATTTGCTTTTTCCTCATAAATTATAGAAGAAGATATAAATGTCACCAAGGAAATGGAAGGGTATATGAAATATCATTTATTTATTGATTCATATATTTAGGGTTTATTTTAATCTAGGAGTGGATGAAAAAATGAGAGATAAGCATGAAACTGAAAATATAAAACAATTAGACCACAATATTAATATACACTATTATTGTACCTGAATATAATTCACACTAAACTCAGTGGAACTTTCTTAACAGTAGACATGCATTCTATTTCATTTTGAGTGATATAGATAAAATAGATAAATAAAAATATCAGTATCTCTAGTCTAGTTGCTTTGAGGTATTTTATGCCCATAGTATGTAATTTTGATTAAAGTATATCAGCATAGGTATGATTTTTTAAACTACTTTACCTCAGTGCTGACAGCTTCATCTGAAGGATTAATCAGCACAACAGTTTCTAAAATTTCACTTCTGTGGTGAAGGATTTTCTGACCTGTGAGAATATGGAAGAAAAGAAAAATGAATTTTAAATCCTGCATTTTATGTATTTATGGTTTTCCTATACACATTATTCTTCTGAGCAAACTACCTTTTTACAGAAACATTAAAATAAAATCTATATGTTAATGTTATAAAAGAATTGTTATCATGCAACATAGTTTAAAAACCAAATCTTTTGATTTTTTTTTTTCATATTACCGGAAATGTGTTTATTTCTCAATGCAACTA